CAAATTTTTGGAGCGTCAAAACTGAACAAATGGTTGACTTATAAGTTATAGGCCCTTATCTAGTAAAAAGAGATTCAATTTGACATTTTAAAAACAGATTAATGAACCAAAAACTATATTCGAATTGAAACTTCAAATGTCCGAGTGAAACGCATAAGTGGAAACTTATAGAGGACTAGACAAATGAATTTTGAATATCTGTTGATATTGTAGCCTCTCGCTAAAAAAACGCAGACGTACGAAGACTTGTTTATATTTTGAGTTATATTCCTTTTTTTTATTTTTTACTTTTATTTTAAATAATTTGCGCATAGAGGTAAAAAATGCCATCGGATAGCCTTCACCGTGTTCAGGTATTGTCATTAGGCAATACATCATGGGCATAGGTCAATAACCATGTAAGTGGTTACGGAGCAATGGTAGTGACGAATCTTCTATTAGCAGATAACTGGAGACTTGGACAGTCAAATTAAAACATATTAATAGCATAAAAATGATTAAGAATAAATAAAAAGTAAATACGAATTGGTACTTTGATGTTATATCTAGGTAATTGTAAATGTAAACTGCGAAAAAGTTCTCAAAGATTCTATAAACCAAAAACAGGTTAAAAATTTCTGTTCAAAACATCTTTGTAAAAACTTTCAACGCATGGTATAACTATGACAAAGTATAACCATTAACAACGATGGTTTTGTCGGACTTAATCTTGTTGAATGCTATTATTATCGTTAAATTATTTCAAAATAATGATTATAATTATATTAAAATAATTTTTGCTAATACACAAATTTAAATATATTATATCTTTATGTAGGTAGTATAAAACTTACTAATAACGGTTATATAAAGTTAATAAACAGCACTTTTGTATATAACTATATATAGGTTTATGACTATAAATATATTTCTGGTGATTAAGCAAAATATTGAACTACAATATAAAGCATAATATATAATAATTTGAAAATTTATATTTCAAGTGCTTCAACAATAACTTCCAAAGCACTAGAAATGTGTTCTATTTATTATTATGTTGAGACTAGTTGAGCTAGTGCACTTGAGCACTTTTACTCTTTAATAACTACGATGAACCTTCAAAAGCCCTCTTTACGCCTTGAATGGATTATTGTTTATTTGTTCCTCAGACTAAGCAATAACTGACCTCAGATCTGCATACCTCCCCAAGGAGCCTGTAACCATTTTGAGATTTGATAACGCAGTGTTGGTGAGCCTGTCAGTTTTCGCAAATAATTTCAGTGCTCTATCCTTTATGTATTTTTTGATCGGATCAGTATTGAGGTCCCTGAGGATGTCATTCTTCCTAATGTACTATAGTACCTTGAAAAGTCTTCTCAAAGCCTGGCTTTGTGCAATTTCTAGCTGGAGAATAGTAGGGTTTGAGGTCTTACTAAATGCTACACATCCAGATAGAAGTGACGGTAGATGCTTTTTGAATGCTTTTGCTTTGCGAAGCATTTAATCAATTAGCCCAATTTAGCATATACTACAATGCTAAACGTTCGTACTTTTAAAATGCGTTTAACTTTGAACAAATTCAACCCAAAATCTAATATGTTAAGAAATTATTCAATTTATAAGCTGTAGATGTAAGATGTAGATGTAATCTTTTTCCTAACTTAAAAGGATTTTAATTTTTTTTTTATCCAAAAATGCATCCATGACGCACATTAGTTACTTCTGAATAAAATTGAATAACATAACTTCGATTTCAGATGTAAGTAAAAAGGTATATGAAGAATGAAAATTATTTTTTCTATAATTTAAACAAATTCATAATCCCGCAGCAAAATTACCATGCGTATTTTTTTTTAAATGTTATTAAATAGTAAATATTAGAACTGATTTATTAAATCAAATAGAAAAGAGAAATAATGCAAATGGCTGTTAAGATAATTCGTCATTTATTTCTGTCGTTGGGTTCTTGAAATTATGCTATAGCGTTTTTCCAGGTATTTTAAAGTAAGACACGTAGTCGTTAAAATATCAAACAATTCTGTCGGTTTTGCAACAACTTTCATCAAAAATATCCACTAAAAGTCTTGAAAACCTCTGTCTTAAAATCATCTCAGCTTTGCTATAAGTGTGTGGCATAGGTAAATAATAGTGTATATTCTTAAAGAAAGTCAACAGTATTATAAACTGATACTGCAGTCCAATAATGTCATCCGAGTGCTTTGTACGTCAAAACTGAACAACTGCTATATTAGTGAAGGTTCTTGGTAATCTGGTGTATGGAACATAACAATTTAAAGGGCATCTAAATACCATAATATCAACAGCAAATAGGTTTTCAAATATTTTAAAAAATTAGTATTTTGTTGAAAAATATTTTTATTTATGACGTCCGAACAATTAGAAGTTTAAACCAAGTTTTTACTGTTGTTTGCATTTTCTTTAGAGATCCAGTTTACGTTTTTACAGTATAAAAAGTCATTAACTATACAATGCAATCCAATCATTGTTCGATTTATTTTAATAACCCACAAGACTCACTTGTCTTTTTGTTATCGATATCATAAAATGTCTTGACAACAATGACAACATGGATTTTTAGTACAATATATAGTAGTACAACAGACACCAGATCACTGAGTAAGAATAACAATATCGATTTAGTCAACTAAACTAAATTGGATTAAAAATTTAAATAATTTAATTGAAAAAATTTTAAAAAAGCATTTCATTTATGAGAAGTATACACTATTAAGACTTGCTGTAGTTTTTTGTGGTCATTGGAAAAACTGTCCATTCCCCATAATTCTCACTGCAGAAGTTGTGAAAACCCGCAAGAAAAATAGACCATTATACAATTTCTCTGTAATGCCCGGCTTTGACATTCAGATGAATTAGGTTTTTAGGAAGATACTTCTTTGACTGTTTATTGGTGAAGAATATAAAGAATGTGGTAGCATGGAAATTATCTAATGGCCTGCCACTGCAACCAACCATCCATTATTAGTCAGTATCTGCATGCATTAGAATTTCCTTGCTTAGATTTTTTAGCCTTAGGTTTTTTTCACTAATAGAGTTAATGTAAAAATCGGGTAAAAATAGTATTTGAGAATATTTTATATTAAATATTTTCAAGGACGCACTGTTCTAGAGAACATGAACAACACTCTTTTCGTTATAAAATGTGTTATTAATGCATAGAATTTTATTAGCTATTTTATTTTACACTGCATTTGGAATTTAAAAATGGTATATATTATTATTTCGTATCTATTGTAAATATGATCTAGATAATATTAAAGAAAAATAAATCAAAATTTTTAAATAAAAAAATTTTAAAACGAGGTTTGAATAAAAAATTGACATTAAAATTGCATCTATCTTATAGAAGAATCACTAGTTTGTATTATTTTATTATTAATTTTTATTATTATTAAATATTTAATTTCTTAAGCTGTCTTTAAATATCTTTAATGGCGTTAAAACATAAAATCCAATCCCAGAATATCTTCTTATTTCTGATGTTAGGAAATTATCAACGAAATTAATTCTTCCCTTTATTGAAACTACTAATCTGCTTCTAATCTGTTACGGTGAGTTAGTAGTGCAAAACTGTGCTATTGCACTGTGGTCACAGTACTACTCTTCACAAGTAGTACCAGTAGTAATTTCGAATGAATTCAGTATCATTCCAAACACAAATAAGTTGAATCCATTTAATGTAAATATTTATTTTTAATGATTAATGTATTGTAAGCAGACAACTAAATACTGATATATTATAAATAACTAATTAGAAGTATTACAATAGAAGTAAAATATAAGAGACCACACTTAACAGGGTCATTTCTATTGTCAGTCTTCTTTTACTTTGTATGCAAAATTGAATCATCGATATATATTTGAATATATTACTTATAATTTTTATCAATTTTTAATCACACATTTATTTTAGATTTTTTCAAATATGGACAAAATCAATCATTAAAGGACAAAATTTTAAACGGTTTTTGAACAAAAAAAGGTAAAGATATATATATATATCAAGATTGAGTACGTACAAAAATTTGATCATATTTTTCGCTGTAGAAATTAATTGGAGTCTCCAATTGTAGAGCAGCATATTCACTATTTCCGTTCTTCAAATATTGAATTGGCAAGGATCGATCCACATAATCATAAAATTCATTTAAACGCAAACTGTCCAGAACGTGCTGATGTTGACCGGATACTAAAACGGTGCAGAACAAAACCACCAAACACAAATATTTTTTTAAATTATTTAACATTTTTATAATATTTTTTTACACGTAGACACACAAATTGAATAATTTGGAATAATGTTAAATATTTTATTTCACTTTCAGAAATCTTCTTCACAAAACCATCATAAACTGCCTGGTTTCCAATACAAACAGTCCAAAAATATATTTTTTAAAAATAACTCCACTAACAATAAGTAAAAGTCTTTGATTTATTTTTTTTCTTTCAGTATAGCACTATATACTTTCGGAATTGGGTCCGATCAGCGAACCATTCGCTGTAGCTTCACTTCACCAACTGCTTTCCACTTAAGTGGTGTGAATTATTTTCACAAAATCATTTGTAGGCAGAATTTATTTGAGAAAATTGAGTTGTGTGCATCTTTCTCATTTACAGTTAGAATCTTCTAAGTACGGAGACAAGTCAGCAGCAGAACAAAGAGCGAGCGCACGTCTGCAGCGTCTGCAAAGATCGGCAAAGATCGGTAAGATCGTAAAAAAGCAGAGCCTAAATGGAGGCGGATTGCAGAATGTGTGCGGTCTCCATGTTACGGTTTATGCAAAGACATTTTCCTTTGGTGTTGGAAAAAAGCGGAAGCTACGTTGTGCCCGAATGCTTACAGGCAATTTAGAGGGTGTACCAGCTAGAAAAGTGTGGCGGTGTTAGAGAGCAATACTATGCCTTAAGTCTAAGATACTCAGTGTTCTCGTAGTTCTCTCGTAGTTCAGGAAAATTAATGTTCGCGCCATTAAGAAATATTTATGGCTCGTTTTCAAATATTCACGAAAATGTTTTTTTAAACATAAAAATATTGAGAATTATTTGTTTGGTATTTATGGGAACATAAAAACTAAATATACAAGCACAACACTTACTCGGTAAAAATAAAAATAAAAAAAATAAAATATATAATATAAAGCACAATATTTGATTTAAAATGTAAACTGAAATGCTTTTTGGTTGTGTGGTCTTCGAGATATAGATAAAAAATAATTAGCATTTAAACAAGTTCATACTTTATTTATATATGTAATATTCTACATTTGCATAATATTATAAATACATAATCTTTTTTTATATATTAATATAAAAATATATATCAACAAAACATATATTAATTTTCAAATTCTTCGATTAGTAAAATAGTTTTCTATCATCATAATTGACTTTAAGAATTATATTAAAAAATATATAGAAACGTTATATATTTTTATTTTTATATATTTTAACTTTAACAAATTAAAAACTTAGAAATATTAGTTTTTAAAAGTATTAAGAAAACTTGATTGATATTTATTTATATATCTATCATAGGTTGGGCAAAAAGTTTTTACCATTCTTTTGTTTGACTTTCAACAGCAGTATTTTATCAATTGACATGTCAATTTTTTCCTTTTTGTTTTGACAAACTAGCTGAAGGGTGATAAATATTTTATTGAGATTGATGATTCGTGTCAAATATTATTAAAAAGAAAATATTATTAAAAAAAAAAATATTATTATATATCCGAAAAAAATCGATAAATAAATGGAAGAATGTCGTCTAAAATACAGATAGTTCACAAGCTATTAAACTTAAACTCGAGATTAAGACTAGATCAAAAAGTTTTGTTTACTTTAGTACAAAACTATAGGATTGATCATGCACAACTAACATCATCAACTAAATAGTTCTAACATTGCATCAATATAAGATCATAATATGTCCCGATCAATGCTAGCTAGAACAATGGAAGATGACACTCCAGCTAAAATAAACTTACCATAATGGACAAGGAAAGGGACCTTATTTCAGGTGGAGGAATCAAGTGATATATAATATGTGAGACGTTCCAAAGACGACATGCAGTAGTTATCTATAATCAATTAGATAATTTCTTATTGGTATTAGTTAAATATCAAAAGAATACAAAAAATATTAGCTGTATCAGTTTATCAAAGATAAAACACCTGAACTCAGAGATAAAAGAACGATGGTTTTAATTGGAAGATGGCAGTAAATGTTCAAAAAAAATGGATCATATTTATATATATGAAATTAATTTGAGAAAAAAATATAAATTTTCACCTAAGAAGTTTTATGCAGACATTTGTTTGCAAACTGGTCACTTTTGACTAAACGGAAATCCAATATTCTCATTAAGATGCCCTCTAGAGATATCAGTCTTATGGTAAGTTCCCTTACATTTTCATGGAAAAGACGATGAAAATACCTCTCATCTACTTTGTCTTTGTCCAGATCATGCACGGCGGCGATTCAACACTTTAGGAGTGGCCTTTTTTGAGGATCTTGCTCAATTTCAAAACCTGCCACTAAACATCATTTTGAGCTTCGTCAAAGGTTCTAGGTGGTTTTAAATCCTGAGTTTTTCTCTATATACGGTAACACAACGGGCCAATCGGCCTAAGTGGTTCTTCTAGGGATCGCCGGTATAACATAACCTAATCTACCAAAGAATTTAGAATATTTTTTTCCAATATTTATTTATATCATATCAATTTTATGTTTGCTGAAAAATTTAAATGCTTTTGATCTAAACTAAATAACTATTAATCTTTAATATTACTTAATATCATACTAAATAAGTACATATACACACAGTTTTCCATATTTTGCACTTCAGAATATGATTTGATAGTCTTAACTCACCTTTATGTAATACTGCTTTAAATTGACATTGATTTAAAGACAAAAATGTTTATCTCTGACCATTATATGGTGTAAAACTCTTCCTGATTTTTTACACACATGACACATAACACCTCACATTCATCGATACAATGCCATCCATCCTCTTCTAACGATAGTTTTCCGTTTCCACATCAGAAATGAAACTCTTAATTGATCGATCAGTTCACTCTCAGGCAACAAAACATAAACATCTGGCAAAATAGAAAATTATTTATTCTTAAAAGAAACTAAGCGGCTTGCGGGTATGAAAATACGAAAATAAATTTACCTTATGAAGAGACTGGCTCACTCTCCGACTGACTGACAAGCAGTATGCATCTTAGGCATCTATTAAATTGCGGTGCTGTGACAGTGAAGTATGGAAAAAATATTTTAACACTTGATTTATTGCATTCACGTAATATCGAAGTTGCTCCTTACGCACCGCAGTATTCGTATTCATTCAAAGAAGATGCATTGGCGCGACCCGACTCTTTCGCTTTCATTCAAAATCAACGAAATATTTTTCATTCTAAATCTGCTGAAGCATAAATTCTTAAATGATCGTTTTGTACTTTAATTAGTTGCAGTCGAGTGCGTTACGTTAGGGTTTCCTGGATCGGCGCTCATCTTCTGACTGCACATATAGGTGACTGCATAATAAGCGATGAGCGGTAATGTTATAATATTTCTTCTTTAACTTTTTTAGGTCAGAGGCTTCTTTAATTGTTTCTTTTGAAATAAAGGGCGGGTCTGGATGATTTGCATTGTTTTGATTTGTTTTTTGATTAATATCTAGCGATTTGGTTCATTTATCTTTACGGCAAAACTAATGATAGGGCCACCAGTGCGTGTTTACCGTATATCAAAATTAATTTTAATAAACATATTAAATATTATTGTGGAAAAATGACATTAAGCCATATTCAAATTTTAATTACAGCACAAAAATTATTAATGGGTGCGTCAAAAAACTACACTTACAATAATAAAATATTAATATTGTATATTAAAATAAAATTATTATGTTTGAATGAAAATGATATTTAATGTATTCAGTCAGTTAAATATAATGCAATAATGGTGGTGGGTAGGTAGGTAAAGGGCGATCATCCATTGCGACACGCATAGTCGTATGGAATCATTGTGGTACAACGATATCCCACTTGAGAGATCCCTTGTCGTTCTACACAAAACCACTCACAGAGCCTCGTAAGCATCATAGTGGGTAGTAAGTTATTTTTGGCAATTTCCTCCGGATTATCCAGAAACGCTTTCCCTAGTGTACTCATACGAATTCTGCATAAAACTGAACAGTTGCAGAGAAGATGCTCAATCTTTGCTTCTTACTCTTCGTGTTGGCAACTCCTAAAAAAATCGTTTGAGTTAACTTGATTATAGCAGCGTCTTTGCCAATCAGAGAATGACCTATTATCACACCGATCAAAACGACAAACTCCTGCTTATTAAGCCGACTTAGATATATTTTTTACCGTCTACTTCTAGCCACATTTTATGTAATTGTTTATAGGTAAAAATGTACTTCCACCTGCGTTTCACTAATTTATTCCTATTTTGCTTAAATCAATGAGTGTATCTGCTATGTTATTTTCGGGAAAAACTCCAGCGATAGTATCTTTCCTGGCAAGTTCAACTACTATGTAGTTATCTTGAATGCCACAGTGCCCGAATTTCGAACTTAACAATATAAAAGAGAGCGCGACTTGATTATCAGAGTACAAGTATATTTTTATTTCAGAGCATTTAACGTGTTTCAGTAAGGATAGTACCTCCTTTCTATCCTAGTAATAAGGCTAGTAATAGGAACTTCCACTTGGAATACACTGCAATGATCCGGCAATCGGGTAGATAATTATATTTCATTAATTATATTAATTATATTTCTCCCCACCTTGGTATTCAACTAGAATCTATTCGTATATTTGAAAGAGTAACTTTTTTTGTCCTATTCTCATTTTTCCTATTATATTTTAACTACAAATTAAAGCTATACTAGACAGAATGTGCTGCTTTGACTCCCAATTTCCTAAATATGGAAACATCTTCATTATCACTTTGTGTGTGTGTTTATGCTACATTATCCTTTAGTTTTAGGGCTGATTTTGTTACTACTTGCTTTTCCATGAGATGAATGAACGCCAAATTCAAGATAATGGTCAAAGCATCTGTCCTTCATTATAATGACATAAGGCGGCTCTTCGATTTCAATGAATTGAACAAATTGATTTTTGAGTCTGGAAATAGTAAGATACCATTACTTTGACACGGGTTACGTTAACATTCGTAGTAAATCTTTTCCTCAGTACTATTTTACACATTTTTAATGTCCACAATCCATTCCAACGTATAAGTCTTATTATTATTGCTATCAAGAACCATTTAGATTTGATCAATATCCCATAAAAATATTTAGTACGAATAAGGGGAGTTGAAACATCTTCGTTCGCGAAGTTTATCAACTATTTCGTTCCCATTTCATAAGACGTATGCAGACATCCAAGTAT